TGTTCTGCAGTATTACTAGGACTGCCTTACCAGTCGGTATAAGGATCTGATGGTACTTGATATTACTGGACATGCCAGCACTGCACAATACAGTACGAAGAATATTAAGACCTCTCGGACAGTTATTTTGGGAATCCCATGTTTTAAAATGTTATTGGGATGCTCTAGCGCGATGGGCACAGCTTTGCCAAAACCTTTCAATTCTGAGTTGTGTACCTTCAAAGCTATTCTTGCTACTGAATTTACAGCCTTATCTGTGTCTTATTAGCATGGTGCCATATTCTGACACACAACATAAGAACAATACGAGCAATTTACTCAAAAAGTTTCGGTTAGAAATTTCAAAAAAAATCAGTAAAAAATATCAACAGAGAAAATCTGTACCATTAAGTGTGGTTGTTATCAAATTTGGATATCTCCGTATTGCCAAATTTAATGAAATTAGCGAGACAAATAGCAACAACGCATAAACTCTGGCCAGCATTTTCAAGCATTGAAGCATTTGAGACATCAGTAGTTCCTAGCCATATACCCTTCGTTACTGCCTATTAATTAATTTGCGCAAAAGATAGTTTCGCACAAGTTGCCAGAGAGTTTCTGCGCTTGCCCATAATTAATAATATGTCAACAGCAAATAATGTTTACGTACCTTTTTCTATAATAATTAACCCTGTATTACTGTAGGCGACGAGGACCTTGCTAGTTCAGCTGCGGTTAACAGCGCAACCAGTTCTGAAAATAGTCCGTATTTATTGCTTTGGCTAAATGGAAATAACCAGGAATTACGCACAGCGAAGTTCTTCACCCGTAATACGTTACTTAAAATCGTAATGAAGTTACGCATCGTGATGTAAGATGTGCTACTGGACTCATCCCTGGCTACTTTTTACTGACCTTTCAAGCCTTTCAACTCATGTATCTGTTGTATCCAAAAATTTCAGATTCACAGTTTTTCTGCTCCCCGAGTTAGCAGTTTTCCCACAGAAACTCCCATGTGTCCGTACGTGGGACTCAAACGCGTATGAAAGTTGGCACCATATATTACCTGGCTACGGACCCAAATGACAAAAATTTTAGCACCAGGCTTTTCTGGTTGATGACTGGAAATAAACGGACAGACAAACACTAATGTTTGTCACAATATGCGTTTTGGCATTTGTAAAAATATGCAAAAACGCATAAAAATGGCGTGAATACAAGCTGAC